TTTGTGCAATATAAAGTAACAGAATGGGAGACTAATACCCAAGGATAGTAGAGATAAGCACCAGGAGGATTGCTCCATGGCTTGGAAGCCAGCCTCACATGCTGGGGAAAAAGGTAACTCAGATAGAGAAGGGAACACCAAGTAAAGGGTGCTTGGAGGGCCTGCTCAGGATGGGAAATGCGTGCTGAATGTAGACTATAGACGGAACGTGATGGCCACTTAATACCTACATTGCAAACCACAACACCCTAAAGGAGAGAGAGAGTAAAAGGGAATGTGCCTGCCACAGAGGCGGGATTGGGGGTGGGAGAAGGGTGGTGGATGGGATACTGGGAACATTGGTGGTGGAGAATGGGTACTGGTGGTGGGATGGATATTCTATCATTGTATGACTTACAGAAAGTTTGTAAGTCTGTAACTGTGTCTCATGAGGATTCATTAAAAATAAATAAATAGTAAACAAAATTATCTCACATATTTTTAGAATAAAATTTTTTATAATAAAAAATAAAGATGAAAAATACCATCGGTGTACAGCAGAATGACACCTGAAAAAATAGTGAAAACAAATATAATTCAGGCTCATAAATAATCAGCAGTATTTTCAACGAAAGTTTTTTTTGTTTGGGGGCCACACCCAATGATGCTCAGAGCTTACTCCTGGCTCTGCACTCAGGAATCACTCCTAACAATGCTTCAGGAACCATATGAAGTGCCAGGGATTGAATCTGGGGCAGCTATGTGCAAGGCAAATACTCTACCCTCTGAATTATCACTTTGGCCCCTACTAAATGCAACGTTTGATTAATTGCTGTTCCAGAGCCATTTTAGCACTTTACATTCATTACCTCATTTAGTCACATTTCATCAAGACCATATCCTCACAACTTATTTATCATGAACACATCTTGTTCCAAATATTTTCCCAGGGTTAGATCTATAATAGTATTGCAGGTAGGGCATTTTCCTTGCATGTGGTTCTGCCAAGGCTCAATCCCCAGCACCCTATATGGTTCCCTGAGCCCTGTGAGAGTGAACCCTGAGCTCAGAGCCAGCAGTAAGCCCTGAGTACCACTAAGTGTGACCCAAAAACACAAATATTTTTCCCACTCAGCGTGTATTCCCAACTTAGCCTATCAACCCCAACCATTCTCCCATTTCATCTTTCATTGCCAACTTACTCTGTATCAAAAACTTTTTTTTATTTTTAATGTTTATTAGTGAAACACCATGAGATACAGTTGTAGACTTACAAATTTTTGTGCTTGGGTTTCAGTTATACAATGATCAAGTACCCATCCCTCCACCAGTGCCCATTTTCTACCACCACGGGTCCCAGTATCCCTCCCACCCCAAACTTTTTTTCTAATTATTAAACAAAAAATTAGTAAAAATATGGATGAGATAGCACGTTAGAATATTAATTTGTGCATTATCCTATTACTCATAACCAATCTCTTTTTGTTACATAATTTTCAGATGTTTAGATCCATATAAAATTTTCTACTTATCAAAAATGGGATTATATTATACCACAATATAACTGGCTTTTTCACTTAAGATTATGTGCTGGAACTGGAGACATAGCTCAGCGGACTGAGAACAAACTTAGCATGCAGGAAGTCTAGGTTAAATATTCAGCACTGAATGTTGGCCCAGTACAGAACTGAGGGTAGTGTCAAGCGCTGTTGAGTATTACACAAAAACCACATACAAAAATTTGCATGTTGAGGGTTCCAGATAGTACAACAGGTAGGGCACTTGTCTTGCATGCAGCTAAGCTTGTTTGAACCCTAGTATCACATATGGTCCCCTGAACACTGCCAGAAGTGATTCCTGAGGCAGAGGCAGGAGTAACTCATGAGAATTGCTAGATGTGACCCCAAAACAAAATACTTCTTACAAGTTTCTAAAATATGTGTCCAAGTGACTTCACACTATTATAATCTCCCACTACAATCATTTAAGAGTGTTTCCCCTCTTCAGCCACAACCATACTATGGGAAAGAGGTGGATCTTCTACATTAAGGATGTCAACAATATTCAGTATGTGTCCACCAAGGCCCTAAGTTAACCAAACTTACAATGTTTTTATATTTTCTCATTATTTTAAGAGTACCTAGCATATTGATTTACATGGACACCAGAGCTGGTCAAAAAAAGGTTTTTTCCTAAGACCCTAAAACAAAGTTGTCCCTCTGTTTATACCCAAGACAGCACTTCCCCAAAAGGATTTCTCACGTCCTTCCTCCCATTATGCCTCCTATGTAGCCACCAGTGAAATGTCACCCCTATATTACGTGCTGCCTAGACTGTGGATAATTTCCTAATTGATTTTCCCATCTCCAGAGATCTCTCTTATCTCCACCCCAACTCCAACTTGTCCTGTACAGAGACCACCATTTCCTCTTTATCCTGTTGTTCCTCAACAGACTTTGGTGCCTTCTGTGGATAGATGGAACAATATTTGGACACTACAGTTTAGCAATTGAGGTTTTTCCACAAATAGGATTCGTGCCCAATGCCAGACTATATATCCCATTACTCTTTTCCAGAGTTTGCATTCCAGTCAGGCCAACTTCCACTCTTTTTTTTTCTTTTTTTTTAATGTAGGAGTACTGCTATTTATTCAACCACTGATTAGCTGATTGAATTGAGCATGAACTCCACCTTACTTTTTTCAGTTTTATATATTTTTATTCTTATATTTATTTATTGGATCACTGTGGGAAAAGTTACTAAGCTTTCAGGTTTCAGTTTCGGTCATATAATGATCAAACACCTTTCCCTTCACCAGTACTCATTTTTCACCACCGAGAACCCCAATATACCTCCCTCCCACCCCTCCCAATGCCTGTGAGGCAGATGATTTCTACTTAAATCTTCTCTACATTGATTACACTCATTATTTCGGCAGGAGCGATAGCACAGCGGTAGGGTGCTGTGCTTGCCTTACAAGTGGCCAACATGGCCGACCCAAGTTCGATTCCTCTGCCCCTCTTGGAGAGCCTGGCAAGCTACCGAGAGTATCTCGCCCCCACGGCAGAGCCTGGCAAGCTATCCGTGACGTATTTGATATGCCAAACACAGTAACAACAAGTCTCATGATGGAGACGTTACTGGGCCCTCTCGAGCAAATCGATGAACAACGGGAGGACCGTGACCGTGACATACATTATTTTGGCAAAAGATGCACCATTATTGTTTAGAATTTCCGCCCCCCAAAAATCAGAATTGCTGAAAAGGCATTGTGAAATACTTTGTCTTCTATAGCTGGTTATGAGAATCATAAGTCACGTGGCTGCTATTGCGGCCGCGTGGATTTTGGATTTCTGCAAAGAGCGAAATAATTACGAGACTGGTTTCTGTGCATCTGGTGTTATGGCTGTGCCGGATAGCCACATGTGGTGGGCAACTCGTGACCTCGGTAGGGTGTGAAGGATGAGCCAGTACCGCTCCCCTTCCCATGAGACTGCCATTGCTCCGTCACCGCTAGCTCATACCTGGCTTTCCTATAAGCTCTGAGGCAGCGGCCACCTTGCTGACGGAGGGGAAAAAGGCGGAACGGAGCAACACCCTTTCCCTCCTGGGGAGGCATGACGCCATAGTTTAACGCATGGTCCATTCACTTTTCTGCCACAAGCTGCCGGGCTCTGTACTAAGTCCTTTTGCCTCTGGAGCCATGGCTGTGCCAGAGAGCTGCTAGTGGGAGGCAACTCATTATCTCAGTAGGGCGTGAAGGACGAGCCGATACCGTCCCCCTTCCCACGAGACTGCAGTTGCCCTGTCACCGCTGGCTTCTACCTGGCTTTCCAACAAGCTCTGAGGTGGCGGCCACCTTGCTGCCGGGGTGGGAAAAGGTGGAAGGGAGCAAAACCCTTTTCCTCCCGAGGAGGCATGGCACCGTAGTTTAACGCATGGTCCATTCACTTTTCTGCCACAAGCTGCCGGACTCTGGACTAAGTCCTTTTGCCTCTGGAGCCATGGCCGTGCCGGAGAGTCACTCGTGGGGGGCAACTCTTTACGTCGGTAGGGCGTGAGGACGAGCCAGTACCGCCCCCCTTCCCATGAGACTGCAGTTGCCCCATCACAGCGGGCTCATATCTGGCTTTCCAATAAGTTCTGAGGCGGTGGCCACCTTGTATGCAGTCCAGATGCATTTCTACCAAAAGTCACTAGGTTTCGAGGTTTGTTTCTGAGTCTCTGGGATCATGGCTGTTAATCAGCTTGATCAGGAGCCAGAGAGGCCATTTGTAGGTGGCGACTTGGGGTCTCGCTGGGATGGGGAGGAAAGGGCTGGTTCCACCCCCATCTAGTGAGGCCCAACGTGTCTTGTCACTGCAGGCCCGAACCTGACTGTCCAGTGGCCTCTGGAGGATTGTGGTCACCGGACCTTCAAGGGGAACAGGCCAAGGCAAAAAACCTATTCCCACCTGGAGTGACCCAGCTCAAGTAACCTACTGTAGGAACAGGACACATTTCTACCAAAAGCCTTTGGGTTCCAAGATTTGTTTCTGAGTCTCTGGGATCATAGGCCAACTTCCACTCTTAAGCAAGATATCAACATCCATGCCCTCCTCCCACCACTCCTCCTCTTCCAATGCCCTCCCACCCCATTTTTTATCTACCCTTCATGCCCAATTCAGCTCTTTGCCCACCTCTTCCATGAAAACCTTTTCTTATTTTTGTTTTTTCATTACACCCAGCGGTGCTCAGGGATTATTTCTGGCTCTGTGTTCAGGAATCTATGCTGGCCATGCGCAGGGGACTTTCCAGGGTGTCAGGGATTGAACTCAGGTCTGCCATTCACAAGGCAAGCATCTTGCCCGCTGTACTATCTCTCTGGCATGCACTGTGAAACCTTTTCTGAGCACTGTACCAACAGCAGTTTCTGCAGTGATGTGAAGTGGCCATGATCAGAGGCTCCTCATTTCTGTTGGCATTTTCTTTGTTTACATAGATCCTGACTTTCCAAATAGATCATAAACTTAAGGACATGATAAAATTTCCTTTTCTGTGTTAAAACACAAATTTATTGGTGAAACACAAGTCTTAGTTTAACATATGTAAAACATTACAGAAGTACAGCATATTCACAATTAGCTCTATCAATTTAGGTAGAGGAAAGAGCAGGAACATCTCAATCTAGATTAATATGACAACATTAATAAATGCTTTCGTGTATAAACTAATATTTATTTGGCATCTTTAAAACAGTCTACTTTAAAGCAAGCATAACAACTAGCATCACTGTTGATCTGATATCTATTATTCAAAAATAGCAGCTAAAATTATCTCTGCCATATAAGCACAGTGAGTAACAAAAAATTATCAAATGCATTGTTCCCAGGTGTAAACTAAAAAATGTCTTAATATTGTTTAGAAAAGATCCCTATTTAGAGTTTGGTCAATACTTTGAGGACTTTTACTTTTACCACCAGATCACTGTGATTTGCTAATGCCTTGATTTTCTTAACACACACTCCAGATTCTTTAAATAAGAAAAAAAGGGAACTTCTGCTGAACTCCTTTCGGGATGTTGCAAGTCCTTCACTTTTTATGTTGTCATTTATATTCTCAAATAGGGTGAGAATATTAAGAAGAATCTCCCTGTCCCATTCTTTATTAAAGAGGGAAACCAGATCTGATGGCACTTTACAGGCAACCAGCTCTCTTGTCATGGCTGGATTTTCTGTAAAGTTTATAATTAGTTTCATAGTCTGAATCTTGGTAAAGTAATTTCCCAGAAATAACAAAGCAAAAAAGTCTGGAAAAGAATAAGACAGCAAATGTTGGTAATGATTGGTCACAGTCATGTTGGTTAACAGTCTTAGTCCAGCCATCTGCACAGGTGAGTCCACACGACAGATCATAGTATCATCACACACTTGGCTGATGTATGCCTTAATCTTACCCTGGTTTTCAGCATTCACACTCAAGTTATTTAGGGCATTGTAAGCCTTTTCCCTAATAATAGGGTCTCTTGTTTTTATCATTTTTGCAATGATTGGGAGACCACCCAGTTCACGAATGGCATTTTGGTTAAATGAATATGCTGCATTGTTACCCAAAGTGACCAAAGATACTTCTTGAATAAAGGGATCATTTGTTCTTTCCAGGATGTTAAGAACTTTTTGAAGGTCAGTAGCACCCAGTATATCATCAATTTTATAGGGAAAGTTGAATTTACCTCTGCGAACAGGCCAGGATGTAGGTAAAGTCTTTGTGCTTTTACTTTTGGACTTTCCCTTAGGTTTTCCACTTGACCTGCTCCCTGACTTGGTCCCATTCTTGGTGGGGTGGCAGCTTCCACCTCTGCCTGCTGGGAAGGGTAAACTTGGTGCAAGGGTCCTAGTCCCAGAGATGTTACCCAGCCTGGTCCCTCTGCCAGCCTTTGCACTTGCCTGTTCTTTTAGAGTGTTGAAAAGGGCCTTGGCCTTGGCCTCTAGGCCACCTCCACTCTGGACCTTCAAATTGGCTTCCACTTTTACATCCGGACTGGATTCAGATTGCACACCCACCTCCCTGCCCTTTGAGACACTCTGAAGTCTAGCTCCAGCCCCCACCCCTGCATTAGTTGCTCTCCCAGTTTCAACCCCAGGCTCTGAAATATCACTAGACTCTTCCTCATCTTCTTCATCTTCATCATCATCCCAGATTTTCTCATTCTCATCTCTTCCCCAGGTCAGTTTGTACACGCAGTAGCAGGCACCAGCCCCTATCACCACACCAGCAGCCACACAGCCAGCTTCCCTTGTACGGCCCATGCTGGGGACAAATGCTGAACCCCAGGCAGAAGAGTTTGTTCTGACCAGAAGTAGTGTGGTCCTCAGCTACAACTGGTAGATTCCGCTGCTGCTGCTGCTGCTGCTGATATAGCACGACCTGGTAATGGAGGAAAAGTAAGAGATCTCAGTCTCCTCTCTTTCTACTGTTGCGTGCAGACAGACCTCTGAGTGGGAAGGTATATAGAAAACTAATAGTCTTATCTCTGAGTGTTAATTTTGAAAATTGTTCCCACCTTCAGATTCTGCAACCTTGAGTTCAATCACCCCACCCCTGTATGTTAAATGTAAGACATCTAATAGTTGCATCTCTCACCTGACCTTTTAGAGGTCCTGGGTGCAGGAGCACCTCGAGGGCACCTTCAGTGGTCAAGCAGTTTCTTCCTTTTCTTTCTAGTCCTGTAGGGTACTTCTGTCCTGCAAGTCTGTGGTACAAAAGAGTGGGAAGGGTATGCTGAACACTCATGGGTTAGAAAGCAATGAATCTCCCAACTCCTCTTGAATCCCAGGCCCTCATCCCGTAGAATCCCAAATATCCCACCGAGATTATGCAGCTCCCTTCACAGAACTATAGATTTAAAATACATTTCGTCCTCCTGGCCTTTTTTGGCTCCCCTACAACCCTCCACCCCACCCCCGCCCTCCTTAAACTCTTCCTCTCAAAGTGACACCATACCCCCTGAACGGACAGAGAGATCTAGAAGCCAGACCTAGAAGCCAGATAGGTAAAATTACTAAGTCCCCAACCCACTCTAGGTTCCACTACCCCCATCGTCTCAGAGGTACCAGGAAGCTTCTCGCTCCCACCCAGGCTATTATACCAACTTCCACAGTTCCGGAGTAGTTTCCTTCCTCCCCCGTATCAGTTTCTGCGTCCAATAAATCTAAGGAGTGACAGCTGTGCTTTGTGGCCAGAACCCGAAGGACATTGTACACTAAAGAATAAACTGGGCCAAGGTATTCCCCACTTCCACCCCACGATTCTTGTCATACCCTCCCCCTCCCCAGCCAAGGTACTAGTCCTTGGCTAGTACCTACAAAAGCACTTGGGGGCGAGGGTTCAAAACGGTGTTGAGGGGAGGAGGTGATTAGAACGAGGTCCTTGCGCTAATCTGAGTTTGCAGTTTCCAACCTTCTCCACCCTCATGGACCCCCAAGCCGTACCACTTCCCTCACTCTGACCTACTTGTTTCTGGGCAAGTTCCCGCTTCTTCCTATATCTGGAGAGTCTCCACAGATGCAGACGGGGACCACCACGAAGATGACGAAGCGGAGGAGTACTTCGGAGAATCCCAGCACCAGCTCTTCCGAATTCAGGGTGCTGGTCGTCAAAAGGATTTCACCTTTTGATTGCTCACTCCACCCTCCTTTTCTCGGGACTCCGCTGACGTCAGCCGTCTTCCTGCAGAGCGTCCTCCCAGCCGGGCCCCCTAGCTACCCCCGCGCTCCGCCATTTTCCCAGCAAAAACCACACCCCTCCAGACCCACTAGCGAAGGGAGAGGCGGGGCGAGGAAGTAGAGAAAACCTGAAAAGCGCCAAGATCTAAGATCGAGCGATCTCGTCCATCCCCCTCCCCAAAGCATCTCCGCCGCAATGCCGAGCTGCTTCTCCCTGCCCCCACCCCATCCCTCCACGTGCCGTCCTAAAACTGCAGGGAGGTAGCAGCAAGCAGGAAGGGACTGCAGCCACCCGGGCCCTCCGAGCACCACGAAGGGCAACCTCACCTTTACCCCGAGCTGTGGGAAGGCTGGGCCAGAGTCTTTATTTCTTTATTCCTTTGCTCAATGTACCGCGGCGCCTACGGAAAGGCGGGAGAGAATGTCAAACGCACAGCCCAGATACTCTGGTTTGGCAGATAGCGGCACACCCGGCACAAAACCTCAGAATGCCCGTCCTCCCGGCTTTCAGGCTCCGAACGCCAAACGTTCCCCGCCCCCACCCCCCTCCCTCCGTCCCCGTCTGCTCCGGAGCGTCCCGGGAATCGGCCGTCGCCTCCCATCCCCCTGCCACCGAAGTCCACCATTTTTGTTCTTGGAAGGGCCGGAGAAAGTGCAAGGCGGTCGGAAGGCCAGCCGGGTCCCTTTCGGGCTCCCTCCGTCTGCTCCCCGCAGCGCGGGGAATCCCCCGCCAGCACCCATTCCCGCACTGACCTGCCAGAGTCGGGTCGGCTGCTCGGCCGCCCTCGAGGCACCGCGGAGAGGCAGCCGGATTGGAACAGCAGGATTAAAAAGAAGTCTGCACACGTCTGCTCCTGCTCACGTGAGGGCCACGTCACCCGTGAGCTCAGGACCCCAATTACCACTCCTACTACCAGAGAGCCAGCGGCTGGTCCTCCCGTTTTCTCCGCGCTACATCAGGTCCTGTCACTCATTTTCCTCTCTGCCTATCCTGGAGACCGAAAGTAGCCTCTCCTTTTAACTGGAATTTGCGTTTCTTTCCTTGGCTGGGAGAGACTGCATCTGCTCCCAAGTCACGTTGGTCTTTTTTTTAATTCCTTCTTTTCCTTAGAGAATTTTTTCCAGTTCTTTACTCCCTATAACCTCCTACCCCACTCCCACTCCCAAGCGGAAGTCGCAACATCCACTCCTTGCTCTACAAAATGGAATGCAGGGACTCAGAAAAGGAGTGGGAGTGCCATACTTTTACAAACTTTTCTGTTGGTTTTTAAATCATCAGTGCATTATTCTGATATTGATGAAATATCTTCATTTGGATAGAGAATTTAAGTGGAAAGGAAAACCCCCCAAAGTCTCATTAATTTCACTATTATTTATTTATAACAATAAAATTGTTATAGACTACCGCTGCAGTCAAAGAGCTTTCAGAGAATATTCAACTTTTTTATATTGAAAACTGGATTTTTAAAACATGATCTCTATGAATTCGTTCACAAAGAAATGACTATTCATGTAACAATGGTTATTCATGTAATAATAGATGCAAATGATTTTTTTCTATTTCTGGACCAACTTGCAATTTGATGAAAGAAAAACAACACTCATCTGTCTTGTTTGGTTAAAGAAAGGCATATATTCAATATCCAAAAGTTTTGATTGACTGTTCTGTGTGCCTCATATTATTTGGTGAATTTTAGAAACACCTGTCCTTGGATTACATTCCAGTCTTCTGAGACTGAAGCAGCTGAGTGTGTTGGGGATGCGTAAACAGTCTGTTCCATCCGGCTTTATCAAGAAGTAAGGGTGGAAAAAGCTGCTGCCTTCCCTCTGTGCCGACATACCAGAGCTTCTCACCCGCTGCGTTCAGACACCTGACTCTGTTGCTCACTGCAAATTAAATTGTGAACAAGTGTCCAAGGTTGTAAATGCTGTTACTCAGGTGGTGAATCTAAGTTAAGAGCCTTTGGCTTCTTCTTTTCTTCCCCAAATTTTCAAGAGGCAACTGAGGGATGCAAAGAAGGAATTACTATTCCCACACCATCCCCTGTTTCTTTCATGAAAACAGTCTTCCCCAGACACCTAGAGAAGTAACTGTTAAAGGCTTTGTTTTCTCTCCGCCTGCATTCACAATTCCTGAATGTACCTTTTTTCCTAATACTAACGATGCCTGCTATCACTTGGCCAGACATGCAACGTCTGGTTCTCTCAACTCTGGACTCCTAAGACAGAGTACCAACTATGCTATCTCTCTTGCCCCACTTCACACTACTGTGAGTGTGAATTTGTCATCGCTTTCACTACCAAACTTCTACTGCCATCCCACCACCAGAAGGACATCTCTCCTCATTTCTACACTTGATTTTAGCCAAAAAGGCCGAGAAGCATTCTCTCCTCATTTCCTGCACCTCTGACTTTCTCTTTTGTAACCACTATAGCTGTCACTAACATACTTTTTAATAAAAAGTTAAAAACATGCAAGTGGGAGCCAGACTGTTTATGCATCCCCAACACACTCAGCTGCTTCAGTCTCAGAAGACTGGAATGTAATCCAAGGACAGGTGTTTCTAAAATTCACCAAATCATATGAGGCACATAGAACAGTCAATCAAAACTTTTGGATATTGAATATATGCCTTTCAGAAGAGACCTTGGGACAATGATGAAAGGGTTTTGACATTGTTGGGGTGGGACATGTGGCAACACTACAAGTATAAAGCAATTGTAAAGGCATGTTTAAAGTCATGTTCCAAACTGAACGATATGAACAGAATAAAACAGCTGGCTGGTAGTGGTATTAATTGTAATAAATCTTCATTTTGAGAACTAATACAGTTATAAATTGAATCTCTCTCTGCATTTCAACTCATGATATTTAAGAAATTTTGAATTTGGAGAAAAAATCATATTTCTTGCTCATTAATATTATTCCCATTTTGTTGCTTGTGCTTTGTGAATGACTTATGCTTTATGATTATATTTTAATCATGTTGTTGCCAAAGAAAAAGTAATTATGTTATATTATTTTAGCAATCTTTCTTAATATTTATTTATAATAGTTTTGCAGTTAATACATTTTCTGCTGTGAAAATACCATCTTTATCTCTGTATCCAATTTTTATGCTTTGAAATTATACTGGATTAATATTTTATGCTTTTTTATACAATATGAATTGTACTGTTGACGTACACTTAAAGAATATTTGAAGACATTTTGTTTTGGTTTGCTTTTGGTTTTCCTTTGGACCACATTTGGCTGTGTCCAGTACTTAGGGCACCATATGTGGTGTTGACCTAGCCAAACCTAGGTCACATACAAGACAAGCATCTTACCCAATGTACTCTCTCTGGACACATTTGGTATTTTAAAAATGTCATGCAGGAGAATTTGGTTCATTACACTATCTGATTCAACTGTCAATGGAAATTACAAAGTCATAATAATGCAATTAATTTAATCAAAATATGAGTACAACAGCTAGAGGTTGTGGTCTAGAAACTGTAGGGTCCAAACCAGAGACATAGTGTAGGAGTTAAGGTGCTTGCATTTCATGTGGCTTACTAAAGGTTCAATCCCTCCATATATGGTGCCCTGAGCACTGGGAGAAATTTCCCCTGAGCATAGAACCAGGAGTAAGCTCTAAGCATCGTCAGGTGTGGCCCAAAATAACAACAAGAAACAATGGTGGTACATGATCAG